CTCCCGCACGGCCCCGACCGCGACAGTCCCCTCTCCTCCCCACCACCCCAAACCCTCCGTGCTCCCCTCTCCTGGGCAACGCCGGCTGCCGAAGGGAGCTGCGGGGGAAGCCCTCGGCGTCTCTCTAGGCTTGGCACCGAGGTGGGGGACGAGTCACCCCATCCCCAAAGACTCTGGCCGCCATCGGGGGCTGCGGCCGGGAGGTGGCCAGCAAGAGGCCGCTGGCGGGGAGAGGAGCAGCTTTTCTCCTGCCTAGGTGCCAAGCCCGGGGCTGCGCTAGTCCCAGAGCCTCTGGGGAGAGCAGCAGCGGGCACCCACAGCCTCAGGGCAGGGGATGCGGTGGGAGCTGCCGGCGAGGGGTGGTGAGGAAGGAAAAGGAAGAAACCTCAGACAGCTGTGAGGACAGGGCAGCTCTGGGGTACGCAGCAAGCTGGAAACTCGGCCGAGGCCTCGCTGTCTGAGGCTGAAGTCTCCTGGGGAGGAAGAAAAAACAGCTGGTACAGCCAGTCCCTCTCTCCCGTCCCCAACACACAGACAAATTTCGACTCTTCTTCTGTCACCCCCGGCAGGGCAAGGAGCAAACAAACTGCATCAAACAGTAGCTTAAAATTAATTTATTTAACAAATATAGCTATAATATAAATGATAATAAAATTTCAAATATACAGTATATTACATAGTACACAGAGCCCCTTCCAAAGGAGCTGGTGGAGGAACGAACACAGGTAACAGACGGTGCTGTTACACAGGGACGGGAGAGGCTGCTCTGCACTTCTGCCTCTTGACCTCGCCTTGCACAAAGTAAGAGAAACGTCCTGTCTTTCAGCCCCCTTTCTACTGTTTCTCTTCCATAGTTCCTTCCCCCACAGCGGGAGGCTCTCCCCAGGCTGCCAGCCGGACCCGGGGAAGCAGGGCAGGGCTGGCCCATCGCCACCCTCTGCCAGGGAGGAGCTGGGGCAATGCCTCAGGTTTCTGCCAGCTGGAGAGCTGAGCAGCTCCCAGGACTGCTGAGGAGAGTGGAACGGCACTGGACCAGGGGGCCAGCATCACAGGGGGAAGCAGAGAGGCCAAGCAGAGCCGGACTGGAGAAGTCTCTGCCACAGGCCCGTGGAGAAGTCCGCAGCGAGGAGCCAGAGGAGCAGGGAGGGAGTGCGTGCGGGGCCGGCATGAGCAGCCGGCCGGCTGGCTGGGCTCAGTGGGGCTCAGCTCTATGTGAGGTGGTACATGCTGTATCCCACGTGCGCTGTGTACAGTCCCACAGGAGCCACAGGCAGCCCAGCCCGCTGAAAAGGGCTCGAGGCGCCGTACAGAGAGGCGCCAGCTACGGCCGGGCCGCCCAGCGGGAACGAGATGCCGAAAGCAGCAGGCGGGAGCATGGGCTTCGCTGCCATCTTCAGCTTCTCCAGCTCTGCCTCCTGGAGCCGCTTAGCCTTGGCGCGGCGGTTCTGGAACCAGATCTTCACCTGGGTCTCGGTGAGGCTGAGCGAGCTGGAGAACTCGGCGCGCTCGGCGATGGACAGGTACTGCTTCTGCCGAAACTTCCTCTCGAGGGCCAGCAGCTGCGCCGTGGTGAAAGGTGTCCGGGGCTTCCTGTTCGTCTTGTGCTTGCGCAGGGTGCAGGCCGGGGGGCTCAGGCGCCCTGTGCCGAGGAGCAGCCGGAGGAGAGGGGGGAAAAAAAAGAGAGACATGACGGTTAGCAGCGCCTGAACCCACACACCCCACAGAGCCCCCAGCCCGACAGCAGCAGGAGAGAAACGGGAAAATAAGGTCCCGCACAAAGTGAAGCAGCCCAAAAACTCTGGGGCTGCCTGGGGCACGCTTCAAAGTGATGTCTCCTGTTCTAGTAAAGAAAGCGGGTGCTCTACTAAGGAATCAGGTTTTTCAAGACTCCCAGGACCCAAGTTACTCGCTGCGCTTCATAGCGAGAACCTCTCTGACTCCATGGAAAAACTCGGCAAAGGGCAGGAGTCAGGAGTCAGACACCCGCACACCCTCCACCTTCTGCCTTCACAGCTCCCAGCTTATACAGAGGAGATGTAGCTGAAAGGAGTAACCCTCCAAAAAAAAAAAAGTTCTGTCCTTTTTATTGGATTAAGGAAAAAAAATAAACAAAACGGGCTGGCTGTTCAGACTCACACCCTCTTCATTAGGCCCCTGGGAACCGGATTAAGCATGTAATTAATTACGGGCTCTGAATTCACACTCAGCCTCTATCTACCGCTCTTCACCGGTCTGCTCCTCTCCTCTTGTTTAACATTTCTAAGGGCCCTCAACCTCGATCTGCCCCGGGTTTACTTAGCAACAACAACTTTTACTTTGCAATTTAAATAAATTAAGCCACTGCGATACTCTACACAAAGTGCTGTCGGGAAACCTGCCTTTCTCCAAGGGAGAGAGAAAGCAGCTCTGTTCGCAGCTCTGCTAAAAGCACCCCAAACTCTCCGGAGAGCCTCAGCCCAAGCTCGCCCCCTTCCACGGGAGCCCGGGCGGGGAGGGAGCGGGATCCGGCCGAGGGCAGGCGGCCCGGGGCTCAGCACGGCCGCTGGAAAGGATTAACGGACTTTTCTGATCTCGGCCCTCCCGCTGCTATTTTTATTATTTGAGATCTCTCCGTAGTAAAGCGGGAAAACATCAGTAATTGCGGCTCCTCGGACTTCGGAGATGCAACACTTGAGCTCGCAGCCGGTGGGGCAGAAGCCCGCCACGCCTGGGAGCCCGGTCTGTGCGGGTCCCTAGGAAATCGTCTGAGCCACTTTCGGAGAAAACACCGCTGAGGCCGAGGCAGGCTTTTGCGGGGGCAGCTGGAGCCCCAGGGTAAGCTACGGGGCAGACCGGGCTGCTGCCCCCCCCCCGCCCCGGTTAAGGCTCGGCGCAAGACCTCGCCCCGGCGCGGCCGCTCTTCCCTCGCCTCCGCGGCCACCCTCCGGCTTCGCGCACACTCGAAGCGGTTCGGTACGTTGAGCCGGCCCAGGCGGCCCGGCAGAGAGTGCGAACCGCAGGGAAAAACATGCCGGGAGGGGCCGGGCTGGGCGAAAGCGAGAGGAAATCCCGCGGCCGCCCCCGCGGCCCGGCCCCGCGGGAAGGGCGCAGGCGGCCCGGGGCGGG